CCTAATATAGCACAGATAATTTAGCAAAAACATGAATGTTATCAGCTAACATGGTTTTCCGTATTTTCTTAGCAGACTGATTTTTAGTATTTTTTACTCTCTAGTAATTGTTCATAAGACACTAAACATTTTGACTTACGTTTTTATAAAAGGCAGGCAGTTGAGGAAAGCTTTGTTCTGCATCTCACACATTTACCCTACTCAAACTAGGAGCAGTTAACTTACAGAGTGGTCTCAAACAGCTGAGTCACTACAATCAGCGCTGTGCAATAAGCAGTGGTTACACATTTTTGTTGTAAGGTTTCAGTAGACTGCCTAAGGAGATAAATTCTTTGACAAAGTGTGAAGCAGAGAAAGAATAGAAAACAAAAAAAGCAAAGTTTCCTTTAGACTTTTTCCTCTCAGATATATAGCTGAGAATGCTAAACATCACTAAAAACAAATGACAGTTTGTAATAACAATTTAAGTATGTTGTCACTTTATTTTCGTAATCTAAGAATAAAACAGTAATTACAATGTTTTAAAACTTTCTTTAACTTTCACTTCACAAGATTTTGATTCTCTCATGCTGGGGTACAACTTTTTCTATTTACTTAAAATAATTCTTTTCTTATAGGCTGTTGTGGTCATTTTCTTTTCTTTTCTTTTTTTTTTTTGAGGAAGATTAGCCCTGGGCTGACATCTGCGGCCAATCCTCCTCTTTTTGCTGAGGAAGACTGGCCCTGAGCTAACATTTGTGCCCATCTTCCTCTATATGTGGGACGCCAGCCACAGCATGGCTTGACAAGCAGTGCGTAGGTCCGCACCCGGGATTGGAACTGGCGAACCCTGGGATGCAGAAGACGAATGCGTGAACTTTTAACTGCTGCGCCACTAGGCTGGGCCCGAGTGGTCATTTTTAATAACAGTATATACTACGTAAGGGATGGAATGTGAACACACACTAGAGTAAATGCCATAGCTTATGTGTCCACATTCTAAGTACAGTAAGCAATCTAAAAGAGTGACAATACAAGTAAACATTGAAATATTTCACCTTTCCCCAGAATACCCTACACTGGATTATTTAGAAATGGTTGTCTTCAGGATTAGGGTAAGGATACTCATTAAAATTCCTTATTATTATATAAATTATAAAGGATTACATAAATTACAAGGATTTTAATAAGTATTGTTATAGAAATTTTTATATTAAATACTATATATACATCTAATTTAAATATTACAGGAAATGTCTAATATGATAGGGTATTAATCCTACAGGCAAACTACTATTATTTCTCTTAGAGAATTGTTTCTTTCTAGAAAGAAACATGCATTGATCTATTTCTTTCATTACTAGCTTACCAATGAAAAGTCAGACCAAATAGCTTTCACCTACAGAAATATCTATGTTCCATTTCTCATAACTGTCCCTGACAGTAATTCTGAAAAGGACTCAAGTAGTAGAAAGAACATGGGCATCTGAGTCAATCTTTGAACAAATCTTGATTCTATTATATTCTGTTTGACTTCAGATAGTTAGTTGTCTGAGACAAATGGTTTCCTTATCCATAAAATGGAGATGACTATACCTGTGTATTTGGGTTGATAGAAACTAAAGGAGATTATACAAACAAAGTGCTGGGTACATATTAAGATTTTCCAGATGTTAGTTTCCTCTTTTGCTATATGGACCATCAAGAATTAAATGTTTTAAATTCCTATTCGTGTCATAAACTTCATCTCCCATTGCATTAAATTAAAAACAAAACAAACTCGTCCAGTAAGTGATACAGCATATGACACAGAATGTGATTTCAAATATTCTAGCAATCTCCTTTCGTTTTGCAATTTTTCTTTTTTTCCCTATTAGCTGCGATCATATTGAGATTTTTAAATTCTCATTTATTTTCACTTTTTTCCTATGCTAATGATGTACCAGTTGGATACTATATTAGAAGTGTCAATGCATCTAGTAAACTTCTTAAACTAAGTACTTTTAAAATTAATTCATAATAGTCTATAAAGATTCTACTTTTGATAAAAGGCAGAACAAATAAGATTTCATAATATAAATATTGATTATAATGTAAAAAAATGCATTAGAATAGCTTATTTTAGCAATTAAGGATTTTTGAAAGACCACAATCAATTTCCAAAAAAATCTGGCTAACCAAACTACGGACTAGCTATTAAAGAAGCTTATGTAATAATAAAACCTGGGGCTGGCCCCATGGCCAAGTGGTTAAGTTCGTGTGCTCCACTTAGGTGGCTCAGGGTTTCAGCGGCCTAGGGTTTCACTGGTTCAGATCCTGGGCATGGACATGGCATTCATTGCTCATCAAGCCATGCTGAGGCAGCATCCGCTATGCCACAACTAGAAGGACCCACAACTAAAAATACACAACTATGTACTTGGGGGGCTTTGGGGAAAGAAAGGAAAAATAAAATCTTAAAAAGAAAAATCAAAGTAATTTTGAAAAAGCAGCACTAAATTTTACTATGCTGATTTCATAAAGGTAAAAAAAATCTTTCATCTAAAATAAATAACAGCTCTACATGGTTACAATTGACCAGCCATCTCTGACTGTCACTTAGCCACAAAAATCAAGGCTCAGACATAAAAATCAAGGCTCAGACATAAATAAAAGAATGATATTATAGGCACAAGTAAAAGAAAAAATAAGCTAGTTAAAAGTCAAACAACTCAACTTACAATGAATAATTTAGCAACAGACACACATTTACAGAGACCTTTCTATGATAACATATTAGGGTATAATATACACGCAAATCAATACAGAAGATTTTTTCTCTAACAATGAAACCATATAACCACAAGGTCTCAATGACCTGCAGCATCATGTTTTGGGAATAAGGAATATAGAACAATGGTCTGGGTCCTCTATAGCATAGGAATAATTATTGTTTGTTTTGCTTGTCCTACGAGGAAAGACATACTATAAAGAAACTATATATAACTATAACTATATAACTATAACTATATATATATATATACATAAAACTATCTCCATAGTTAGAGATATGCTAAAACGAAAGAGCATGTTTGGGGGCATTTTATTCAGTAAATGACTAGAGCTCCAAGCTAAAAAGGATCCCATGGAGGTTTTTATTTTCAGAGAATAAAACCCTTGGCTGGGTAGAAAAGGTCAGGGAAAGAGGGGGGAAAGAAGAGGAAGGAAGGAATAATTCATTTCTTTGTTTTTATTCTGACTTATGAATTTATTTTCTAATTGAGATATAACTGGCATACAACATTTATTAGTGTAAGGTGTACACCACAATGATTCGATAAACGTATATATTGTGAAACGATTATCACAGTAAGTTTAGCTAGTTAACCTCTATCACCTCACAACTTTGTTTTTCATGTGATGAGAATTTTTAAGATTTACTCTTAGAAACTTTCAAACATACAACACAGTATGGTTAACTGTTTCTTTTATTATACAATAAGCAGATAGGCTGAGACCAGGGGAATTAAGTTGATGCTCAGGAAGAGAGCTGAGAGACAAAAAGAAAGCAGATGCTGGTCACGTGGCTTAAGCCCAGGCTCAAGCTGCGCCTCAACTGTAGAGCTATATGAGTCGACAAGGTCTCTTAACTGTTGAAGCCCATCTGAGCTGGGTTCAGTTACTTGCAGTACAAGTAGTACTAACTAATAAAGTACTGGAATTATATAAATCTTTCATGAACTGTAAATCAATATTTGTAGCTGTGACAACCAGTTTTTAATAGGGTAAGCAAAAATATTCCCCTAGGGATGAAATTACCTGGCGGTTCTCAAAGGTACTTTTAAATCTTTTCATGAGTGTGTGGGAGGGATGGACAGGAAGGAGAAAGACACGACGCCTGGAAATCTTGGTGAGCACATCCTACCAGATTCTGGATTTACTACAGCGGCAACAGTATTTCCATTTATTTTGGCTTTTGGAGAACTACATCATTCTTATCAGTATGGTGTGTAGTATCTAAAAACTACTATTGCTATAAACCAAAAAAACTTCCTCAAATCCCCCAAAATGTGCAAAACCACCATCACCACACATTTAAAGAAATGCAGTAATTGTGTTTAACATGGAGCCATGGGTAAAAAAACTCTAGTTTTAAAAGACCTAAATAAACTGGTTTCAGAACAGTACCTTTAAAAAGTTGTCAATATAAGTGTTAAGAGACAATGTGCGACCTCCTTTCTCAATTTTCTCAATCTTACTAAAGCTTACTCTATGAAGCATAAAATCCTCTTCAGACTTAGTTATAATAAAAGCTACTATTTACTGAGCATTTATTATGTGTCAGGACTGTGGCAAAATGCTTTATACACATTTATTCATTTAACTTCTATTTCTTTCTTGCTTCTTTTAACAGGGCTTATTTTAAAATCCCAAATGAAATGTTATGAACAGCACTTTCCAGAGTACGGCCATGAAATGATAAGCCTGGGATTAATATTGGTGCCTTATTTTATGAAGATTTCTTGTCTTCCAACATTGTAAAACTCCAAATTTACCAGGATCTCAAGCACATCAAGACAGCAGATGACTTGGAGCGCCCTTACTTAAAGCAAACTGCCTCTAATAACCTTGGTCAGTATGTACTACAGAAAATGAAGCTTACGAATTTCAAGCCAGGGCTACTCAAAGTGTGGTCCATGAAACTGGTACCAGTCTGCAAACTGTTACTAGTCCAGGACAAATTTTCTACATCACTAAGTACAATGCTAGTTCAGCTAATTTGTTTTCTCATAGCAAGATATTCCCAATGAAGGAGACTTGATTTATATTCTAGCCCAAGCTCCTTACTCGTCAAGAACTGGTAACAAACAGTTTGTGGACCAGCTATTTTGAATAACATGGTTCTAAATCTCAGTTGTGGATATTGCCTCTAGTTTTCTGTCCTTGATGATACACAAACTTTAAATAGATTAACAAACAAATACTTAGTTTAAACAGTCATCCAGCAATGGAAACAGCAATAAAAATCAAATTCATCTCACCTTTGACAGAAGCAATTTCACACAGGAAACATGGCCTTCATAGACAGCAGACAGAAGAGGGGTAATATGATGTTTATCTGGAGCCTATGAAGTGAAAAACAGATATAAACTAGTGTACCCATTTTTCATTTCTTCTTTCTTTCTAGATCTAATTAAGGAACGCTTGTGACTATTTCAAAATGAGTGTTTACCTATTTGCCTTGCTATACAAAATGACTTCACAGCTCCAAGTTTCTAGTCGCCTGGAAAGCTGCCAGAGGCCCAAGCCTATAAGCATGTTCTCCCTGGGAACCAGAGGGAGCAAGGATTTGACCCCAGTCAAATCTTGGCTCTGCCACTTACTGTGTGACTAGTTACTTAACCTCTCTGAGCCTTAACTCCACACTATTGTAGAAATGCCAATGAGGTCCAGGAAGGGAAGAGAGGGTAGAATATAGCCAATGAAGAGGTAAAAGACTGCCAGAACTGGACCAGGTGACATGGTGTCCTGTGAAATGTAAAAAGTTCATCTCACTTGCTATCATAGTTACTTAAACATTTTTCCAAAACTCTGAAATGCAGAAGCTATAAAAGCCAAGAGTCAGGAGATGACTACTCCTGTCTGACCACTTGCCTACTGACTTTTGTCCAAAAATCCAGTTTAGATTTGTCATATTGACTGCAGAGTCCTATGCTCCATTGAGTGATAGCCATCTGCTACCTATAGATAGTGCTAACTCTCAAGTTGGTTTAGTAGAACTTGAAACGGAAACTTCCTAACCTACAGTTTAAAAAAGTCAGTTTGTTCTGCTTATTTAAAAAAATCTGAACTATCTATTTCTAAGTTACAGGAAATTTAGTATAATTTCAGACTGTTGTCTTATTTAAAATGAGCTTTTATTTTACAAATCTATTAGAAAACAATTACCCAAAGCATCCAATAGAAATTTTTTCTAGAATGACAATGTTTTTTACATACATTAATATCTGCTCCTTTCAGCAGCAGAAATTCCAGGATTTCAAGCTGCCCACAATCTGCTGCATAATGAAGAGGCTTCCTTCCACCTTCTAGTGTCCGGTTGACATCTTCTCCCTAATAAGAGAAGCCAAGGGAAAAGAACATTTATATAGATGGTAGACTGAAGGTGGGAAATGAGACACCTGATATTTTTACTTTCTTAAAGTCTTAAGAGTTTCATGAAACAATTACCATTTCTGGCAAAGTGAAATAAGTAACCAAGAACTTGAAATTAGATTCTGGACAATAGTTAGCACACAGTATGATAGTAATTCAAATCATGATTAGTCAAGCTGAAAAACGATACACAATAATGCTAAATGTAATGAAATACATTACTGTGCTCTATTTCTAAGGAGTTCAATCAGCACAATATCAAGAAGTGGCCACAAAAGACTGGTGAGCTCAAATACTGAGATTTTACGGAGATCATATGACATATATTTTCATTCTTTAAAGAAAGCATCACTACTTTGATGGAGGTAGACATCACCACATAGTAATCAGTACCAGCTATGAAGAATTTATTTCATACATTCACTCATTAAACTTTTGCCAAAGCACTACTGTATGGCAGGCACTATGCACAGAAGGCACAATGGTGAGCAAAATCAGACATGGCTTCTGATTGCATGCAGCTCACCATCTAGTGTGGGGAGGCAGATAATCAAATAATAACATGATTAAACATATAATTTCAAAATATAACTGCTATAAAGGAAAGGAACTCAGTACTATACAAATACTTATCAGAAGAACATGATTACTTTGTTGATGGATAAGGGGGTAGGTATGGTCAGAAAATAAACTTAAGACCTCAAAAAATAGTTCTCATTCATTGAGGATTAACAGAGATTCTAACAATAACAAATACAACTACCCTCTCTACTGACCAGCGACTACAGGTTTGGGACTGTGCTACACACAGTATCTCTAATCTTTAAACCGTCCTAAAAGGAGAAAATCGCCATTTAATGTATGAAACGTCTGAAGCTGAAAGAGGTTAACTAACTTTTTAATGTGGCTTAGTAAAAGAATAGAGATCTAAACCCATTCTGTTTCTATACCACCACGTTGCTTCCAATTCAGTATTCACCCCTTCTTTAAGGAAAGTTCAAATTTTACAGAGCAGCAAAACATCTGAAACAATTTATTTTCTCAACTATTATATTATTCACTTATCTTGGCTTGGTCAACTATCCTGAATCAAGATGTTCAGAGCCCTTCATTTGGCCATTCCGAGCTGTTCTTTCAAATGTAATCTATATGGATATAGAAGGAAGGTGTATAACATGCTCAAGATCACTGGAGACTGGGTTAGAGCTCCAACTCTATCACTTAGTTATGGGACCTTAGACTACTTACTTTCTAAATCTTAGCTTCCTTATCTGTAAAATGGGAATATAAATAGTTATACCTCACTTTAGAACTTGAAAAGGAAACTTCCTAACCTACAGTTTAAAAAAGTCAGTTTGTTCTGCTTATTTAAAAAAATCTCAACTATATATTTCTAAGTTACAGGAAATTTAGTATAATTTTAGACTGTTTTCTTAGTATATGTTACTATATGTAACATAGTACCCGACACAGGATAAAATATTTAATAAAGGTTAACTATTATTTCTGTGGATTTCTTATGCTGGCTTATACTGGTTCTAAACAGCTATCCAAAATAGGCTTAAGGCAGGTTTTTGCACAACAGCTGAAATAAAGATACAATTTAATGACAAATTTACATAGTAAGGGTGATTTGGTGTACCACCTTAGTCTTTATTCACAACTGCATAAATGTGAGTCTTTGAGGGGAAGAGAGAGATTGCTTAAACAATTCACAGATAAAACTAGTTTTCCTTTCATTTTTAATATTAACTAGAGAGGATTAACTGGATAAGTCTGTTCAGTGAAGCAAAGCAAAGAATTACCTGTAGTAAGTAATCTATAAGATTATCAAAAAGATATTTTCCTGAATCAAAATATGTGACATCTTCCTTCCCTACTTCGTATGAGCATGCAAAATGCATAGGAAATGGAGCTGTTGTAAATTTAAACTTTCTCCTTTATCCCTGCAGACATTGCCTTCACAATTCTTATTTTAGCAGACAAAAAATGACAATACTGGAAAGGCTTTGTGTGACTGACAAGAAAGAAGGAATCCTCTTCTTCAGGGCCTTAGCAAAAGCAGTACTGTAGAGAAATTTATACTACTAAATGCCTGTGCTGGAAAAGCAGAAAGGTCTCAATGATCTTTGTACATTCCACCTTAAACTAGGGAAAAAAAAGGTATATAGAAATTTCTGTACCTTCTGCTCAATTTTGCTGTGAACCTAAAAATGCTCTAAAAAATAAAGTCTATTTTTAAAAAGCAAATTAAATCCAAAGTAACAGGAGGAAAGAATAAAAATCAGAGCAGGAACCAATGAAATAAGGAAAACAGAGAAATCAAAAGCTGATTCTTCAAGATCAATACAACTGATAAATCTCTAGCCAGGGTGATCAGAAAAAAAGTGAAAACACAAAGTGCTAATATGAAACTTTACAGAGTACCTTGCCACAAAGAAACTCGTAGGCCCCAGATGGCTGCACTGATAAATTTTACCAAACATTTAAGAGAAAAGAATAATTCCATTCTACACACTCCTTCAGAAAATGGGAAGCATCTCAACTCAATCTATGAGGTCAGCATTACTCTGATTCTAAAGTGAGACAAAGATCTTACAAAAACAACACACAGGCTAATATCCCTCTGAACACAAATTCTAAATGATATTTTAGCAAACTGAATGCAACAATATATAAAAAGGATAATATACCATGACTAAGTGTGGTTTATCCCAGGAATACAAAGTTCGTTAAATATTTAAAAAGTCAGTCAACACAATTCACATTTTAACAAACTAAAAAAGAAAAACCATATGATCATCTCATTAGATGAAAGAGCATCTGACAAAATCCAACATCCATTCCGATAAAAACTCAGCAAATTAGGAAAAGAAGGAAACTTCCTTGGCCTAATACGGGGCTTCTACGAAAAAACAACTAATGTCACACTTAATTGGTGACACCGTGAATGTTTTTCCTCTAAAAGTCAGAAACAAGACAAGATGTCTCTGTTCTTACCACTTCTATTCAACATTGTAGTGGAGGTTCTAACCAGTGCAATTAGGCAGGAAAAAAACAAACCAATTTTAAAAGGAAGAAGCAAAACTGTCTTTATTTGCAGATGACATGATCATCTATGTAGGAAATCCTACCAAAAAACTACTAGAACTGTATAATACGTAATTTTAGCAATGTTGCAAGACAAAAGGTCAATATATACAATCAATTGCATTTTTATACACTAGCAATGAATAACTGAAAATCAAAATTAAAAATATTTACAATAGCATCCAAGGATATGAAATACTTTGTGATAAATCTAACAAAAATACGAAATACCTATACACTAAAAACTACTAAAAATGTTGAGAGAAATTAGAGAGGTCCTAAATAAATGGAAAGATACACCACTTTTGTGGGCTGGAACACTTAATATTGTAAAGGTGTCAATTCTCTCCAAATTGACATATAGACTCAATGTAATACCAGTCAAAACCCCAGCAGGCTTTTTGGGAAATTGACAAACGGACCCTAAATTTCATATGGAAACGCGAACAATCTAGAATAGCCAAAACAACTGTGAAAAAGAATAACAAGTTAGAGGGCTAACACTACCTGATTTCAAGAATTACTAAAAACTGCAGTAATCAAGAAAGCACGTTATTGGCGTAAAATTATAAAATATGCAAATTAATTTATAGTGCTAGAAAGCAGATCAATGGTTGCCTAGAAGGAGGGCAGTGGGAGTGACAACAGGAAGCAGGGATTACAAATAGGCACTTGGGGGTAATGGATATGTTGTTCAGTGTCTTGATTGTGGTCTCACAGGTATATAGATGTCAAAACTTATCAAATTGTACACCTTAAACATCTGCAGTTTGTTGTAGTTCAATTATACCTCAATAACATAGATTTTCCTGACATCATATCTTTGTGGTTCTATCCTTATGAGATACTAACAAATCAGTATTTGAGGTAGGATGAGGGCAGGGGTGACTAACAGTACCTTCATGAGAGACTTAGAGAGCAAAAGCTATTTGAGGTCAAGTTCCTTCACTGTTAGTGCTGAAGGGAAAGCTCTTGACTTCTATATCCTGTAACTCAACTAACTACATGGAATAAGATGTTTTAAAGTGGGATAAGAGAGGATCAACGTGACCCCTACTAGCTGGGTGGGCTTCAGAGATCAAAACCATTGTCTGGATTTCTGAAAAAATCTAAGTGGTATCCCAACTTCTAGCCTCATTTCGCCTACTCCATTCTTTACTCTGCAGCTACAGCATCTTCTAAACACAAAATATGATCACATCATTCCCTGTTTAAAAGTACTCTGATGATTATCCATTGCTCCTGGAGAATAAAGTCTGAACAACTTCACAGTTTAGAAGATTTGGAGTGATGTCCCCAGTGACTACCTTTCCTGTTTCAATTCTCACAGCATTCCTCCCTCATGTCCTCTGTTTAGTTAACTCCTACTAATCCTTCAGAAACAAGCTTTAATAAAACTTCCCCTGCAAAGTCACCTCTAACCCCCTCAACTTCGAGTAATGTGAGCCTCACACACGTGCCCAAAGCCCCTTTTATTTCTCTGTGTCATAACACTTATCACACTCTTACTTACTTTTGCATCTCCAATGCCTAGTATAGTTTCTGACACATACTAAACATTGATATAATAGAAGCTTTTTGATTGAACAAACAGTGAAGTTGCTCAAACAACAGACTTGGAAGCAAGTCATAATGACATCTTCCATTTCAAACACACACTGATAATACATTAGTTATCTACTAAGAACAGCAATAACTTGAGATCAATGGTGTGTTTACCAATGAAGGGGGTTTGATTGAATTGAATGACAATTTCACCAGGTTTTTAGCAGTCTGGATAGGTGGTAACTTCCGTAGTGGTAGTGAAATAGGGAAGTAAGACAGTGCTGTATCTAGTTCCTTTCTCCCCATACTCCAGGCTTCAGGGA